TTGCTGAAGCAGCACGACTCCAGCACACACATCCTCACACACAGGCAGTCCTACAGCACAGTACTCAGGAGTCTGGAACAGGCAAGCAGTCATTTATTCCAAGGAGCAAGAAGTGCTGCTTTAACCCAACCTGCCCTTATTCCCAGATAGGAGCCACGAATGTTTTCTGGCAGCTTGTCTTTCAAAGCCTGCCCAATCCCACCCTCATGCTCCTGGATAACAGCTGCTGGGAAGCAACAGGGCAGCACAAGACCTGTCATCAGGTTGGCACCACTCCTTATGCCTTTGAGTGCTTCCCTCTGTGGCAGGTGATCCGCGTGATGCTCATCACATACCCACATCTTGGCAATGCACTTTGCTTCAGGAGGACCACATTAATCAGAACCCTTGCTTTCTCACTGCTATGTAAGGAGGAGTTTTAGATCTGCATCATTCCCTGAGAGAACTGTTCTTGCTCATTTCTGAAGTTCATTAACAGGCCAGTTAGCCTCCTGCTCATCGTCTCTCATGCTGGACAAGAGTCTAGCAATGTAGACAAAAGGATACAAAAGCATTTTGGTTATTCTACTAACCTTTCCAGCTATACCAAACTCTTCAAACATTTCCAGTTCTCCTTAATTGTATGATGTGTTGCTATTGCACATTTTTTAATGCATGCTCCTGACTTCACATGGCTCAGACAGAAGAAACACTATCACTTAGAACGTGAACACAAAGCATGAGATGTGACCAGTTACCGTGTGAGGAGCCTGGACACTGTGTTACAGGATTCCATGTCTACTGACAGCGATATCCCAAGAGTTCAGCTTAAAAAGAAATGTACTATTTTGACCCTTTCAAAATACCTGCAAGTGTTCTCATAAACTATTTTATCTCTATGAATTATCACTATTCCATTTCCTACTGGTTTCTCTGCATTTCTAACTGCTTCCTGGTCATTTTTCTTCTTCAAGCTTCACAGTTGAGTATCTTGACCTACATCCAGTAAATGTTTACAATGACCAGAACGTGATAATCCCATGCTGGAGTTATAAAACTGCTTAAATACATTAGGAATGCTTTTACAGGAGAAAATTATATGGCTCTGCAGAAAATCTCACAAGCAAAGGTATTTAGACAAGTGCTACATCAGAAGTGGCACCATATGTTTCCACACTTCAGCATGAAAGACAAAAATGAAAAGCTACTGCCCTGCAATCTTAAAAATACACCATTACTTCAAGCACCAAATAATCAGAGCAATCTAATTAGGAAGGGGATAATTAAAAGCCTAACAGATTGCTAAATCATGCTCAGGACACACAACCTAGTGTTTGCTCCAGTTTGTAAGATTAAAATAGTAACAGAGCCAATGTCTCTTCAATCTCCGCCCAGGTTTGAAGCACTAAATTGCACTCAGACCACATCTCATGGTAAGAAGTGCCATTAAAAACTCACTTCTTCGCATGGCAGGAAGCTGCTGTGATTGCAGTAACTTTCTACTCATAACAAGAATTGTTACTATAGTCCTGTCATCACATTTCATGGGCTGGAAATGGTTAGGCTGTCATTTCTGAACGTCAAAGCCCGATTCCCCACTGAGTGCACATTACTATGGAGCCTGAAAATCCTGGCCTGAATTCTGATGGGTGCCATTCATAAGCATTTTTAGCAATGACTCTGCTACAGTTACTTTGCACAGGAAACCTCCATCTTTCTGGCAGACAGTGAGAGCCTTTCCCCAGTCTTCCCTCAAACACAGCCACTGCTTCAGACTTGAAGTAAACACTTCAGAATGCAGTGTTTGACAGATAGCAGCAGCAGCCACCTACCTGCTAGAAATGAGTGTACAGGCTTTCAGCCAAAACATCTCAAATTACACCAGCTCTCTGGTTCCTATCCATATCTGCCAAGTCACACAGATGTGCAGACTGGGCCTTGTCACAGAGATTTATAACTGCTAAGCACCACTGGCATATTCACAAGATAACACACTATTGATTGATACTGAGGACCAAATCACCATCTTTCCAAAATACTGTGTTCTCCTCCTTTCCAACACATAACACCTTCCATTTTCAAAGTTCATCCTGATAAAAGATGAATTCTCCTTTTGATTGCCAGTCAGCAACTCGAAATCCTCAGCTGATAGCTGACCATTGCTCTGATTCATCTCAGCATCTGCATCTCCCAAATGAAGGCAACTACAGCTACACAACTACTCTGCAACTTCAAGAAGAGGCCACAAGAAACAAGACAGACAAATATAACTTCCTCTAGTAAGGCTACCACAGCACTTTATGTATGGATTCACTGTAAATCACTTTATGGGCAAGGATGCTTTTAAGCACCCCATAAATCCAAAAGGTACATTAACATCTTCTAATATGCCTGCTGCATTACACACACAAAATAGCTTTGTTCCCCACTGGTCTGGTTAGCGTACTTCAGGAAGCTCAGGAAGGAAGGAAGCAGAGCCTTAAAAGTTGCTTTTGAAAGGAAACACATTGAAAATGTTTGTATCAAGCTAAGTGTTCATAAAGGTGTTTTCTCAGCCCCAGTTTTTACACCACACTCAGAACCAGACTAATGTAAAAAAAAACTGTTGGAAAAGTGGGATGATGCAATGGAATAATCAGTAGCTAAAACTTAGGAAACCTGGATTTAAGGTTTAGTTGGTGGCTGATTCATCCTGCCTCTTCATTTGTTTAGCTCATGGTTCTTCATACATCAGTGTTTGTTTCATTGGTAACTTGTTTTGAGAACTACAGATAAAAAGCTGTAATAAACAGGAACTACTAAAAGGTGTGTTTACTCAGGTTAACAGCACATCCTTTAGCTCTTTATACACATCAACTTCACAGAGCCATTTTCAGTGACTTTGCAAAACAATTATCTTGGCTACAATCATTCCTGCATGTAAACTGATGCTAGTTCCACACCCTGATGCTATCCTAGTCAACACACCAGTGATCATCAGGGCTAGTACTACCACTAGTTAATCCATCTCCAGTAAAGAGCTGCTTTGTCTCCTAACAGTCACCCAAAACTGGTTCACGATTGCCTTCAGGCTCAAACTCCACAGTTAGAATCTGGAGAAAGAAAAGGAGTTTCTCATGGCTTTCCACAGCAAGTGAGCAAAACAAAACAGCAGGGTTCTCCTCTCCTCCTGCTTCCTGGTTGGTACCACAGTCCCCACCTCTGAGATGGCACACTTGCTCTGGACCTTTCAGAAGCTCACAGGGCTGACTGAAACACAGAAGCAGGCTTATACAGCACAAATCAGAGCAAAAGGGGTTGGCCCAAAAGACTGGGACTGAACAGAACAGAACTATTGCAATGGCAACTTCCAGAAGATGCAAAAATGTCATTAATCTGATGGCCAACGTGGCACAGATTTTGAGTCTTTCCATATGCCAGAGGTTCATGAATTCAGCAAAATTGAAGCATACCACAGACACACAAAAATCATAGAAACATACATAGAGTGGTTTGGGTTGGAAAGGACCTTAACAGCATCCAGTTCCAACCCCCTGCCATGGGCAGGGATGCCTCACACTAGACCAAGTCATGCAAGGCTCTTTCCAACCTGGCCTAGAACACTGCCAGGTATGGCAACCTATTACAGTGTCACCACCCTCCCAGCAGAGAACTTCCCCTGTTTTAGTTTGAGCCCATCACTCCTTGTCCTACTGCTACAATCCCTGATGAAGAGTCCCTCTCTAAAATAGATATCATTGAACATTTACTTTGGTGGCTTTCAGATCTGATATATATTGGGGTTTTTTTTCAGAGTTTGTGGTTTTGAAGGGTAAGTTTTCTGCACAATACCCCATTAAAAACATATGTTCACAAAACCAGAGCAAGGTGACATTATACAAGATCTGATGATGCCATACAGAAGGAAAAGAGAACCAGCTCAGCAGCGAGGATTACACCTTAGTGGATGCCCAGATCTCTGAGACTGCTCCCCACCCTATGGGAACAGATATTGGCAAACCTGCACACAATGAAGTGGATACCAAGCCCTACCTGACTGGCTGTCACTAAACCCTGACACCTCCACAGTCAACCTCCAGCCCAGCTTACTGGTTTGCAGCTACCAGGCCACATCATGCATGGTGTGGAGGATAAACACCACTGGAAGTGAAAGCAGGCAGGCACCCCACCTTAGTCAGCATCACACCAAGCCAAGATCTACAATCTCACCCACCCCTGGGCCACCACAGATTTACAGCTGGCTTGAGACCTGAATTAGATACGCATTTGGATTGCTAAAGGGATGGTGTTGACATGCAGAAGAGAGCAGGGCCTGCAATCTGAAGATCAAAGAACTACTTCTGATTTACCCTATTAAAATTGAGAAATCTATGTTTGTGAAAACGTGTGCAACAAACGTCTCTGGATGTGGCTAAACCAGAGCATTCTCAGCTTTATCCTGTCCAGATTCCTGATCAGACTTCTGGAACAGTGAAGAAACTGTCTCTTACTACCACTTTCCCACCGCATTTCCACAGATGGGATGGGATACAAGCTCAGTACTTCATAAGCACTGTATTGACAGTCATGGCAGCTAAGGAGCAAATCAACCAGCTGGTTTATTCACCATCTCACTAGTCTGACTATTCACACTTCTGAGGCACCTGAATATCACACGGATGGTAGACCAGTGAGGCTCAGGGTTTGGAATTAAGATGCTGTTGGTTCCCTGAGAAACAGCATTTCCTTCTGCACACAACATAAACCTTGTTTTTTCTCACCCCAGGCAGTGAAAATCTACTGATCACTTTCATCCTCCATTACAGACCCCTTACCATGGGTTTCAAGAGCCTATGCGTGAAGATGTATTACTGAGCAGCACTGCAAGAACAAATAAATCAAAAAGAACAGAATTGGAGGGGGGCATTCAAAGCACTTCATTAAAAATGTTAAATGCATCTTCACAGTCAACACTGTCTCTGCTGTCACAAGGACAGGGGGCATCAAAACATGCCACATGAGGTTTAAGTGACATGTGGGGCTAACACCCAACATCAATTTATTGAGAAATACAACTGTCAAGTGCACCTCCACCAAACACAAAGCAGAGCCAAGGTTTGTTACGTTTAAGGTATAGATCCTTCCATGTTGATAAAGCCAACAGCTATTTTGATCTCAAAGCCAACAGAAAGGGTTTCTCATTCAAACAGTCTTCACTAATCCTCAAATATCCATTTTCCAACCTGATATCAGGACCAATACTGTTGGCTTTGTTAAAGAAATAAAACACCATCATGCAACAGAGATGGAGTTGAAAATATTGCCCAGAAATCTGACTGCCAAAGTACCCATTTTCAGGTATAGGTTGATAAGCGTTGACTTGTCTTTTAAGTACGAACCACTTGGCTTAATCTGGATTGTTGCAGAGTTATCACAAAAGAGGCTCAAGCAAGTCCTTCTGTGCTATGTCTCTTTCTGAGCTTCCCCTTTTCAGTATCCCACTGGTCAACAACTGGATGTACTTGCAGTAGTGTGATCAATACAAGGAGTTAGCACCTATCCAACACATTCTTGACAAAGAAAAGGTTGATGGAGTGACTTAAGAGGATAAAACCCTGAGATCCAAGCTTCCAAGAGAGTCTGATCAGTCCCTTCCATGCTGTCACACAATCCAGAAACTCCTTTTTATCAGTCTGGATACAAATTTTCAATACATTCTAAAAGGTTACGAGATCTTTCCGTTTTCTTACATTCACAGAGCAGGTAAAATACACAAATACCAGGGCCTTAATGCTGAAATTAGGATTTATTTTTATATGCTCAGGATGCTTTAGTTCTCCAGAATACTTGCAGCACATGCTATGGTTGCAAGTGATCAAAATGTAGCATCCAGCATCACTGACTGCATTGTAGTAGACCGGGTGGCAAGTTCCAATAACAAGGAGCAAATCAAGAAGTTCTCAGCACCTCTACCTGGAGGAGACAGATTCTGGTATCTTCTGCTGTTTAGTCAAGACTGCAGAGCCTTTGGGCTAGGTAGTTGGAGAGCTGGTTAGGAAAAAGCACATTGTTGCTTTCATGGTTTCTGTATGGACTTCACGATATTGCAATAACCTAAAATTCAAAATTCAACTTCAGGTCACAAAAAAAGCTGAAATGGAACAGGCAAAAAAACTGAATGACAACAACAGCCAAGTGACTGCAGAGCACTGCAAGCGCATGGATATTCAAGCTCCTTGCTTCTGTCTGGGCATCCAATCTCAGTAGAAGTCAGGTGCCAACAAGGAGTGAAGTGCTCAAATACTTCCATGGACCTAGGCCAGTTTTCAGGTTCTAGCTCACAGCATTCATGCAGTGTGCTTGATGGATGCAGCTGCCTTCAGTGAAACCTTCCTTTCTCATAAGCAGCCAGTATTTTTAGAGACCCATCCTAATGTCACTGATAATGCTTTCAGACCACAAAACCCCGAAGATGGATTTTGAACATCATTAAGATTCATTCACTGTAAAACAAAAATAGACTCAGAAACCAAGAGGGGATGTGGGTCACCTCCCAGTGCTTTTCTCCAGGCTTCTCTGAGCTTCACATAAATGTGAGCTACCTAGTGATGAATCAGCCCTGAAGCCTTTGTAAAAAGCAGATATATATATTTTGTTTGAATCAAGTGTCAAGTACATGCTCCAGGAGCCTACAGCAAGGGCTGAGCAAGGCAAATGTTCACAATCCATCGGAACTTAAAGAGATGCAGTGGAAGAAATCTAGTGAGTTTTGAGGTCAAACATCTGAAGGAGGTGTCTCTCTACTGATCAAAACAGAAGTTTGGTATTACAGGCATAAAAGCTCAGGAATAATTTTAGATAACCTTGAGAAAGCACCTGTCCTGTCTTTAGAAGATATCTGAAGGGGGCCTATAGGAATGCTGGGCAGGGACTCTTCATTAGGGACTGTAGTGCTAGGACAAGGGTAACGGGTTAATACTGAAACAGGGAAAGTTCAGTTTGGAGATAAGGAAGAAGTTCTTTACTGTGAGGGTGGTGAGGCACTGGAATGGGTTGCCCAGGGAGGTTGTGAATGCTCCATCCCTGGCACTGTTCAAGGCCAGGTTGGGCAGAGCCTTGGGTGCCATGGTTTAGTGTGAGGTGTCCCTGCCCATGGCAGGGGGGTTGGAACCAGATGATCTTAAGGTCCTTTCCAACCCCAACTATTCTATGATTCTATTTTCAGTACTGCTGCATACCACATGGCTCAGAATGCTTTTTCAGCTACAATGTGTATTTACTCATGACACTACTGTGTTTGACTAGTAACCACTTACATTATTATATGGACTTCTACTAGTCAGTATTACAAACCTTGGCACCATTTTACCCTCTCTAACTTGACATAAGGTTTGTAATAATTTGGTGCAAAGTTCACAGAAATCATGCAAATGAAAACTGAAGGCTTGAAGAAGCCTGTACATGCTGACGTGTAGAGGTACAAAGCTGCAGGTTCCTTCCTCTCCCTAAGGATATAGAGAAACCATGCAAATACACCCAAAGTTTTCTAGTAAAACTGACAAGTTGAATTAAGGCTGTTTGTTATTCACAGCCTTCACATGAGTGTTCATCTTTGAAGAGAGCCAAGCTCAAGATAGCAGCTTTCCATTCACTATCAATCCATCTGAAAACATTTTCCTGCTGCGTACCAAATGCTCACAAACACATCCCAAATCATGATCTGACTCCCTTCTGTGTGCCTTACAGAATTAAAAGCACTTTAAAAAGACTTACACACTAAATGTGCACTAGTGTCATTAGGGCATTTATATTTTAAAGACAATTCAGTACAGATCCTTCTCCCCATGTTACACTTGTAGAACTAATCTCCTCTGAAATGGATTACTGTTGTTACTAGTGTATCCTGCTGGCTTTTAGTCCCACTGTCCAAGGCTTCTCCCAGGCTAATCCTTCCCTTTGCTCATTTCATTTGGTATCTTTCTATTATGATACTGTCTGAAAATCCCATCATAAGTGATTGGATTTCAAAAGAACTGGGAATAGCACAGAGAGGGGAAAGAAGGGTGGTGTTTTTTTCTCCTCATTTACCTAAAGATGCTTTCAGATTCTTTACTGTGAATACCCCAAAGACTACAGAAGATTCTTAATTCACGCTTATGAAGGAATCAAAGAACATAACTAAGACCCTTCACAGTACTTTAAGTTTGCACTAAGACTGCAGACTGTATTATTAAGGCCTCGAGGAATATTATAGGCCACAGCCGGAGAGTGAGTATGGAAAAACTGCCTCCACATAGAAACGAATAAGGACCAAAAGAACCATCTTACAGTAACCAGAAATTACCACACTGGATCAGACCAGTGCAATTAGTATTTTATAATATATTTAGTATTTTATTATATATATGCATATATATATGGGGCACACACACACACAACAAGGACCAGGACCAGCTCTTTTAGACAGAGGCACATGAAAACTTTTGCCATTAACAGCAATGGAATGACACTGGAGTGAAATTCACCCTCAGTTTATGCTACTTAGAAGCTGATGCTCACCTTAGAGCAAATGAATCAGATCTCCCAAACACCAAGGATTCCCATTTTACCTTGCATTTTCTATTACCCAAAGGGTCACTTGACACTTCTCAGGACTTTAACTGTTGTTGGGCTCTGTGTCATTGCACAGCAATGAAGGCCTGGCTAAATCTGCTGGTGTGGCTGAAAAGTTCAGTTACAACTGAGCATCCTGTTACAATACTTCTCTAGGCTCCATGGTACAGTGCTCTATCCTTGTCCTTACTAAGGCTTAACACCACAGTTATCTCTGGACAGAGAAGAACACTGTTGGTTCCACAGACTCAAGCATAAGGTTGTGGCAAAACCAATCATAGCACAAGCACCGTATAACTTGGTTTTAATCTTTCCATATGTATGGAGGTGGTGTATTAAGATGCACTTCTTTCTGCACCAAGCCAAATTCAAAGCTCAGTGTACCAGTCCTAATAGATTCTCTTAACTGAGGCACCCTTTAACTATTCAAGCAGCACACACAGACAAGATTTATATCAAGATCATGACTTGAAGATAATTCTCAATGCTCCCTCAGAAGCTATATATATATATATATATATCTGTGTATATAACAATAAGACCTAAGCTGTGCTTCAGTTTACTAATTAAAACATGACTTACTAGCTCAGAAGACAATGAATTTTCATTGCTAGAGTCATTTTTATATGTACACAAAGCTTTATTTACCTCATTAAAGCCTTTAAAATGTGGAATGCTTCACTGTCCTTCACTCCTGTCAGCCTATGTGCGCTCTGGGTGGGTGAATGGCACAAAGTTTTAAGCCCACACTATATAACTGCTACCCTCTTCCATATTTGTCAACCAGCTCCAATCCTTGCATAACCTGCTACAACTCCCCATTGGTAACTTCCTAATAAGATAATACATTAAAGATCCCATTGCTAGCTAGAAGAGAAGAGACGGGACAGTCTTTGGTTAACACACATAATATACCCTGTAGGTTGAAGTCCTTAAACAAGCAGCATTTACCAAGAGTTATTATGATGGTCTAACTCTGCATTATAACTGACAGAGTTCAGAGAATTTGACAATTTAATCACTGTAATATTTCTAAACCCATATTTTACTATTATAAAACCACTTTTAACTCAAAGCTCTGCAAAGGACTGTGTTAAATGAGGTCCTGGCCTCAGGTTAAAGGTGCTCTCTCCAAGCACAGACTCAGACACGGCTTTCATGTGAGGACTCTCCATTCTGGCACTAATGAAACAAAATAGAACCAAAATGTGCCCACAGATTTCAGGCAGCCAACACTCACAGCCCTGGGAGCTCCCGATGAGCTCTCACAGGTAAAAGCAAATACCTTGCATCTTGACCCAATCATCATGAGAAATAAATGATCTTGTCTACATACCGAAACAAACTCCCCCTCCCTGCTCAGACACCACGTTATTGTTCACAACAGGCATGAAATAAGCAGAAGTAGTATGAGTGTGTCAGCCCCATCTCAGCAAAGTGAGGGGATGCCACCAGGCTGGCTTGCAGGGTGTTTGTCAAGACACTGTGATAACAGCACTGTGATCTATTGTCAACCTTTCACTTCTGGAGCTGTCTGTACAAACCTCAGTGTAGTTCCAGCAGAGACCCAGAGCAAGAGCTATGGCCACACACCTCAAATTAATCAGCCAGCAGAGCTGCTGGTTAAATGCTTGGGAGATAAGAGCCCTGCTCACAGGTCTGAAGGGAGAGCTGCTGAATGGGCTCTATCAACACTTTGGTGCAACTATGATACACCACAGGAGCTGAGGGGTGAGTAACCAACTCACTGCAGCAGCTGCACACTTAGCATCAATCCCCTCCCACCTTATTAACACACACACTCACCATTGACTAACACAGACCTTGCTCGCAAAGACACATGGTGTTCTGGGTTCATCTGTAACAGTTATTTTTCACTTTGTTTCCTATACTGGTGTTCATTTAAAGGTAGCGTATCTCCATTCCCTACTCCGATTCTTGCTTCCATCAAAGACAGACTGAACTAGCACCAAGTCCTTATTGCCAAAGTGATCTGTGGTGCAGGGTATGAAACCTAAGGGGAAAAAAGAAGGATGAGACTTGAAAGTAGTGACTCCACCGAAAGGGCAGTGTCTCACACTTGGCTGGGGTGTACTCAGTCCTGTGAGGAGAGAAGTTGTTCAGCTGAGCTCTTTTCCCACTGTAAGGTGTAGTGCCACTGCCTACCTAGCATCAGCTAGACAGGGATAGGACCAAACCTCTGCCAGCAGCACCACTCTCATTGCCATTTTGATCAGCCACTGAACTTCCCAGTCAGAGCACTGGAACATCCATGTAAGTGTTTGAAATTAGGTAAGTGTCTTTGTAAGGAGAGGCATCACTCTTCCCATTAACACATCACCAGTTTGGCTGGAAGGACGATCCACCTCACATTAAAACATTCAAACCACTACTGGTTTTGTCAGTGAAGTTAAGGATCTGTAAATGCAAACTTCTTCCCAAAGCCCTACAATACAAGTTTGTAGTAGGCTCATTGTTTTGACACTGCAAGATGCATTTTCAGCTTGATAAATTACTCCACAAAAAATGAGTTGGGTAATAAAAGCAGCACACTCCAGTCACATACATATTCACGTATACACCCCAGTTCTCCTACAGTGTGTAATAGCTAAAGATCATTTACAAGCTTGACATAAACCCAATGGAATTCAATTGAAAGACTCTGATTGACAAAGTTTCAGAGCTCTACACTTCAAATAACAAGCTTCTGGAATAAATAGTAAAGGATTTCGTAATGGCAAGCAAAAGAATCTCTCAATCCTGTAGCCTCTGCTTACACAACAGGCTTCTCTCAAGAGTCAGTAAAGCTGTATTAGGCTCCCAACAGCAGATGCAGGGTGGTAGGTGCCATCAGGAGGGCTCAAGTCACACTCAAGGTATCATACACTGCTATTAATGACAGGCAAATTATTTCCATTATAACTTTAAGGAACATAACACATAAACAACCTACACCATAGCATGTCATCATTTCACTCTTTGGCCAGGAGGATGCAAGCTGTTTCCACTGAGAGGCTACCAGTTAACTCAGTAACATTATTACATGTTTTCCCTCTCTAAAGTCATGCTGCAGTTTCCTCTTTTTACTCAACACAGCATTTTCTGAGTTTATTTCCCTTTTAAGCAGCATCTTTATAGCAGAAACTGTTCAGTAGTTAAGCCAAGTCTCCATTTAGCCTACAAATACCTTTGCTCAAGGAGAGGGGCTGTTGCGTTTGTTCTGCAAGAACCCTCACACCTCCAGCAGCACACGGTGTTAGTCAGCAGTTTTACTTCTCCTCATTAACAACCTCACCAGGCAGCAAAAAGCACATATGAAAAGCCTTCTGATGCTTTCCTTTCACACAGGAGTCAAAGCCCAGAGTAAAACAAAGGGCTTCTTAAAATAGAAAGTTTACAATAAATTGCTTTGACTAAAACCCACCACTTAGATTGCAACTGCTGAAAGCACGATCATTTATACTGAGCACTTCTACCCCACACACCATGTCAGAGTCAAACCATCATGTATTATTCTCAGTTGCAGAAATGTTCTCTTTGAAGTGTTTTTTATTGCTGGTATCTCCTAATTTCAACACTCTTTCTATCCCAAATAACCCTGTGCCCATTACCCAGAACCTTTAGGTGCAAGCACAGCAGAAGGTTGCTGCCATGTTCTAGTTGCTTAAAGGCTTCCAAATGAAATACATGTTTTCAGTTAACAAACATCAAGTCACATTTAGAGCTCTCATCCCAGTTTCTGTCACTATAAAGGTTGAGGACATCCAGTGCAGAAAAATATGTAGGAGAACCCTGAAATAAAGTATTTAAAGATTTATAAATCTTATAAATGAAAGCTGACATGTCATACTAGAAAAAAAATACTCGGATCAAACCTTTGAGCATAGAAAATGAGAAAAATTAGGAAAGGAAATGTTATCACCTCATCCTTTATTCCTTCAGCTCTGCCTATGGACCAAAGACAGCTCCAGACTGAAGTAACTTCCTGCATACCTCATGACAGCTTAAAATAAGCATGAAGCCCAAACAATGAATGCACATGCCATATCCTGTAAAGCAGGCAACAGCTACACATCATATTTCTGATGGCACTGTAATGTTAAATTGCAACTGCATTAACTTTAACTTAAGAGTTTGGCAGAACCCTGCAAACACTCCATTCCTCATGTCTTTACATACAGAGTTCTAGTATAGATTAATTGCACATTACTCAATACATTGATTCCCTGTGGTCACACAAGTGCTGACAAGACAAGAACTCCTCTCAGAACTGATTCAGGGTCCAGTTAAGAACAAGGAGGATGGGACAGGCTTGTACTGAGCCTATCAAGTTCTGATTACGTTATTCCTTTAGTTACAGAGGAGTCAAAAGGTGTTAGTATTTCTTTGCTATTTGTCACTCTTGCTGCTCAAATGACAGTCCATGAGAACTACAATAAGATTAGAAGTGCCCTTAAAAATAACCACCTGTATGTGCAATCATACTGCAAGTTGTAAAACAAACTAGGCTCCACCAACACGATATAGTATGTTACTACATGATTTTTGGATAGGAATCGAAAATACCATCCTTTTATATTGCTGATGGGAGTTCAGGGCCAGGTATACAGGCCACTTTCTAACTTCTGTTCAGTTCCATCAGTCCTTAACAAGAGACGCAAAAGATCAGGATTTTCTCTACAAGGCACAGTTCCCATCTCTACTCAATTGGCAGGTTCATGTATATAGGCAGACTCAGGCACATTAAGATCTATACACTACTTTAGCAATAACAAGCGATAACAGTCAGCACTTCTACTGCTTCCATATTAACTGTTCTTCACACCTTTACAGCAGCTGGCAAAGGCAAAACACAAAGCCCCTACAAGGATTCAGCCTTGCTATGAAGATCAAGTATGTTCTTGAAGTTTAAGGCTTCTTCCTCAGAGCAAAGCTGTCAAGAGTTTTAGCACTGTCCAAGGTCAGACAGAAGTCAGAGCTAAGCCTCATGCTTGCATCAAACTATATAAATATGAAAGGAGAGAGGTTTGACATCCTACTGGTGAGAGAAGTCCTCTGCACGAATGATTATATAAAGCACAGGACAGGCAAAGCTCTGCTTAAAGTCAATAAACAGACTCGCAAATCGCCAGCTGCCCTCTCCAGCATCTTGTGGCCCAGGTCCAAATTGCAGAAAGCTCAAAGACTCTGCACAAAGGACACCATTAAACTCAGGTTTAAAGTAGCAACTGCTTTCCTTGCACTGTCAGTAACATGGCTGAGCTCTCGACAAGACTATTTGGACTGAAAATACACCAGAAAGTCCACCCTGCTGGGAGCAGAAACCCCATCCCTTTGTGCATGAGTTCTAAAACCTCAGATCTCCTTTGTACATAAGCAGCGATCAGACTGATGAACCTCACAAATGTAACAAAGAAGCCATGTGGGGAAGTCTGGTTCCATACTTCATGTTACTTACAGCCAGGTCACTTTTAAACAGAAAGAACTGGATGGAGAAAGAAATACAGTATTTAACAGAAGTTCTTGTAAGACAAACATGCAACTTGTGCATTGCATGTCTTCACAGTCATACACTCATCTCAATCGTTTTAAAATCATTAAAAAGAGAAGTCTCTACATTTAACCACTTGGGGTTCCTCAGCCCTGTCAAGCATATGCATTTACCTGACAGTGATCTGGACTTACCCCTACAGAGCGAGTTATCTTAGCTGAAGGCATTTTGCAACACAACTTCTACAGCTGCTTATAGAATACAAAGACATGAACTCCACCCCAGTTTACCAAGACAAAATCATCCTTTTCCACAGAGCTCGACTTCCAATCTAAGAGCAAAGGTCTGAGAAATGGGTCTGCAGCTACAATGCTCTTTTCCTTCGTGAAAACAAACTGGAGCAGACTACAAAAATTCTGCCAAGTCTCTAAAAAGTTATTTCTACAGCATAGGAGGATGCTTGAACTCTGGTTTAATAATTTCCTTTGCTGTATTTCATTCATTTCAATGTTTGCAACTGTTTGTCTTAACAAAAGGCGTCATTGTGACTACTTTAAATCATTTCAGAGAGGATACACAGCTCTCAAAGCTTGTGCTTAGAAGCATGTTTATTTGGTATCATTCTAAAATGCAATAATAACAACACAAAACCCCAACCTTAAGATCTTCTTTCATTTTTAATTTATTATAATTAAACACATGAAAGCTCAAGGCTTTGCAAAGCTTTAGGAGCAGATTCACTTATATTGAGCCCAGCTCTTCATCTGGGGTCTTTTCCAAAGCTTATGGAAAAGGATGGAAGCAGCCTTCCAGCAACAAACAGGAATTTTTTACATCTTTAAAGCTACAGAAAGAGGGGGTTGGGAAGGTGGAAATGAAACGGAAGACATTCACCTCCATTCTGCTGACTCAAACCCATGCAGCTCCTCTCTGATGTACACAGAGGTCTGCCTAGGGACAAACAGTTTATGCCTACCAGCCACAGAACAGGATCACAGCCAAGAGCTGCTCCATGGTACCTTACACCAACACTCAAGACATACTTTTCCTCTGCTTTTGTCATCTACTCAACACCTACTGGAAGGACTCTGATTACATCACTTGCTAAAGAAATAATGCCAACACCAGACTTGGTACCTTTCACTTCACATAAAACATTATTCCTTTTTCAGAAATAGCTGGAATTAATACTGAAACTACCTTAGTAATTTTCAAAATGAGTTTTCACTAAAGGTATTGACCCACCATTCATTCCATTGTATATACTCCTGTGGTGAGGTGACAGGTCATCTGTTACTTGTCTCCTGAGGGTACCTTCTCTGCTGCCTCCACTGAGATGTTTGAGATGCTCTGGACTCCCTCCATAGTGTTGTTTGAGATGCTCAGGGCTCGTACCCCTCACTTTGTGGAGATGTTCTGTACTTCCACTCAGCGTGTGCTTTTGAAGATGATCTGGGCTGCCACTGCTGTGCTTTTGATGCTCAGGACTACTACCCGGCCTCTGCTTTTGAAAGTGTTCAGGGCTACTACTCAAAACATGCTTTGGGATAGTTTCTGGGCTGCTGCTGCTGTGCTTTTGTTGTTCAGGTGCTTTGACAATGGTTTTGTGATGCTCTGGACTCGGTCCTTTCAGGTGATGGTCAGGACTGCCAGAGCTCCTTGGCTTCTGCAGGTGCTCTGGGCTTATGCTGCGGTGTTTCTGATGCTCAGGGCTTCCTTCACCCCGAGTTTTCTGGAGATGCTCTGGACTAGTACTTGGATGATGTTTATGATGGTCTGGACTATCTGTGCTTCCTGTGCTAGACGTACTACTGCCATCACCAACATCTCTGATGTAAGCACTTGTTGCAGTTAACTGGCACAGGCTGATCTGGCTGTCGATGGAGCTCCGACTGCCTGCTCCACCACCCTTCTCCTCATCCAGCAACACACACAATTCCTTCAGCTCCAGGTTCTCCTTAACCACTTCTTCTTGTCTCACTTCCAGTTCTTTCAGCTTCTGTAAGTATAAGGCAACCTCTTTGTGCATAATACTAGCGCTGTACCTGCCCAGTCTCTGCCATTCTCGGGACACCTTCTTGCCCTTCTGCCTGTCATCATCCAGAAAGCAGCAAAGGTCTCGCAGTTCTTGGTTATCTTCTTGTAGCTTCTGGTTGATATCCTTTAAGAGAAAAATTACCATGACAGAGAAGTGTATAAAAGAATAACATTATACAAGCTAGTGAGCAGCCCTGCTATAAACTCATCACCTAAGCATTCAAGCGAGGCACAAGCAGTTGTGTGTGTAGATCTGGCAATATTATAACAGCATCATGCTTCAAACAAACAAAGCTGCTGGCCAGTAAAAAGCAACAATCACCTGGAGCTAATCTAGAAGGGCTCAAAGACAAACTTGTGATACAGCATAAAAGTTTTGATGCTTAATTCATTTTCATGCTAATCATGAGAATAATTTCGTTTTTGACTTAGCAAAGATCATCACCTCTTCATGATGATTTCACTCCCATGAGGTATATTCACCTGCAAGTTAGAGCTGAACAGAACTGCAAAGTACACCAGAAACTGTAATCTTGCTTAAATAATTACTTATTAACATTTATGCTCTCTGTTCCCTAAAGCAGATTCACATAGAAGATGAACATTTGAGAGATTTAGGAAAACTGAGCCTTTCTTTGGCTTTGTTTCAGATTTGCATGACAGAACCTTGTCAGGCATTACTTAACCAGGACTGCTTCAACCACTCTGCAATAAAATAATCAGCTGTCACAGGTTTTTGTTAGGAGTGAAAATGAAGTACATGATTCCATGCCCTTCTCTGAGGGAGGAACAGTGTGAAGCAAATGCTCTGAAGCAAAAACATTCAAGCTATTGCTACAGGAGAATAATGTGCCAAAGAAGACATCTTCAGTATTTTAGCCTCCTAGTTTTACTAAACTGCTTGTGACCATATTTATCTTTCTCTCATCTAAATATTCATTCCTTCTTACGTAAGGCATGAGAAATAGAGATTAGCCACAACTGGTAAAATATTAGCCTTATGAAAAGACCAGTTTAACACTATTTCTTAAGAAAAGGAAGCTTTTGTAACTCTACTGCATGTGTTTATCTGATCTTTGCTCCAAACAGCTTGAACTTGACCAATTTCAACCCGTATTTGACAACGGAAACATTACAGTGAGGCTACAAGGTACCCTTTAAAATCTGGGCTGCAAAAGGGATTTTAAATGACCCCACAGTGGAATAAAACAGTTATGGAAGCCCAGTCGGTCACTCAGAGGCAGGAGGTATCCAATCACTGAAACCAGCCACAGCTGCTCATTCTGACTCAGACCAGTTACTCCACACAGGACAAAAGAGTGGATGTCCAGGCACCAACCCAGTGCTCAGGGACTCATTCTCCCTAATTCCTTGACAAAGTTCCAGCTGAGGCATCTAAACAAAAGGTGGAAGTGAAACATCACTTAAGGAGTTCAGAATGGAGAGAGGAATTTGCCACTCCTTCCTACACATCTTGGTCTGTTTTGCTACTTATCTGGAAGAGGCATAAATCTATATGATATCACCTTCGTACATAGCTGTAATTCAGCTTACATTTAACACTTTAAGCTGTATTTTTACTAAGGTACTATCATGGATGGGTCTTTTCTGCCCCCAGATTGTCAAAAAGAGGGAGGGCAGCCATACACACACACTCTCTCACTTTGCAGAACTTGGGAGATAGGAACAATCTTCCCCCACATGCTATTTATTTTATGCCATACTGTTATCAAAGATGCTTTCTCAATCTTTTAGTTGATTAAAGCCGTTCTGCAAGTCAAGAACTGCCTTCTAATGTATTCTTACATAATAATTCTAAAGCCCAATCTATATCTCTGTTTCCCCTCTCTTTACCTCCAACCTCACCTCACTGAAGGAACTTCCTAAAGGCAATGTCCTCTCTCAAAGCAACAAGGCATAAAAGGTTTTGTAGTCCTGCCTGCTTTAAGATAACTTTCTAGGTCTGTAATATATGTGTGCATACTAAGGCAGGGAAATGATCTATAAATACTCACGCTGTCTTCCCAGTCCTTAGAGGTGGGAAAGAAACATCAGGGACTATGCTCCTCATCCAACAAAAGAGTTCAGTTAAGAAGGGTTAAGTTATTACAGACTTGGTCTGCCCCTGACTGTAGCAGAAGCTACAGTACAATCGAAAATGGCTCAGTCAGAGGTGAGTTACCAGACATCTTTTTCAGACAATAAACTTCAGATTGGTTCTGATCATCCCAAAACAGAGCCCAGGGGTTTACCACCACCTGCCACATGGTGCTCTGCAGCCTGGAGATGAGCAGCTGTCTCCAGCAAGCCCATCAGACAAGTAAGTTATCTTAAGACAGTGACAGAAAACAGACTAAGCTACATAAAACCTTTTGAACGTCTAGAGCTCTGCATGCTACTCTTTCAAGTTCACTTTAAGGCAGGGTGGTTTAACCTGCCCAAAAAGCAATAAAGTCTAACACAAAGGTGACCAGACTTAAGGGGTTTTATCAACCCAAAACACACTGAGGCAGAGCATAAGACTGCAGAAGAGCTGGGTGTGCTCTCCTAACCAGACCCTTGCTTTTTAAGGGGGCTCAAAGGCTACTTATTCACTTTCCAGTGGACTCTCGGTAACGGCTCCTCCCAGAGCATCCACCTGCTGAGATTGCTCCCGGCGGGACGCCGAGACACGGCAGCAACTTCAGGGCTCCCACCCTGTCCACCCCGCTACCTTCAAGCCGCGGATCTCGCCGAGGTGGAGCTGGAGGCGGCGGTTCACCTCGCGGATGAGGTTGCTGTGGTCCAGCATCGCGCTCATCTTCTCGGCTTCGGCTCGGCGGAGGCTGCGGATCAGCTCCTCCTTGCTCCACTTGAGCAGTTCCTCGTCCGACACCTTGGACAAGTCCTCGGCCGGCGCCGCTCCGCAACTTTCCGACGCCACTTTGGACATGGTGGCACCCGCGGAGGGGGCACCCGCCGACCGGGGCTACAGCCCCTCTGGAGCCGCCCCACCGCCGCGGCGCTCGGGGGAAAGGGCGAGCGCGGAGCCCGCCGGCCTCTCCTGAGTGGGCACCCCCGGCTCCAGCGCCCGGGGCGGCTGGGCCGGGCGGGGGGTTACGAAGGGAATCGCTCCCAGCTCCAGAGAGCGGATCCTGGAAAACCGGAGGAAGAGGAGGAGGAAAGGGTGTGGAGGAAGCCGAGCCACAGGCTGGGGAGCAAACTTCCCCCGTCGACAAGGAGGAAAAACACAAAATAAAGGGAAAAAGACACGGAGAAGCGGGACGAGCCCGGCTCTTTCAACAGGTCAGCGGTCCTCCTACCCGCTGCCGCGCCGGGGCTGCCGGGGCGCGGTGCCTCTCACGGTAACCGCCGCGCGTGTGCTGCGGGCTGCGGAGGCTGCAGGGTCCCGAGCGGGCGCTCCATGGCGGCGGTCGGGCTGTGCCGGTCCGTGCCGTGTCCGTGTCGAGCGGTCCCCGCCGCAGCGGGAGGAGCGGCAGTGCCGGGCGCGGGGCTGCTCGCGGCTTTTCACACGTGCGGGGAAGGGGGGGCGGCGCTGTCCCCGCACGGCTCGCGGGCGCCACCTGCCGCTCACTGCCGGGCCCCGGCTGGCACCGCCGGTACCTGCCTCCCGCAGCTGTGCACAGGGGCCGGGCTGAGCGCACCGCGGCCGCTGCTCGGGGCAGCCCCGCGGGACGGAGCTGCCCCCCCCCCCCCTCAGGCCGCAAACCAGCCCCCGGTGCTCCAGGGAGCAGCTTTACACCGGGAAGCGGGGTGCGGAGGCAGCCGCCCGCCGCTCAGCCCGCTCCCCGCGCCGGGCGGGAGGGGAGGGCGCATTACATCACCGGCAGCCAGCGCCGCCTCGGCTGTACCGGGCTGTGACCAGACAGAACTAGACACAGCCCCTCCGTGCAACTCTTCACTCGAGCTGAAGGTCGCTTGAGCTCCCCGCAGGGATCAGGACTGGGATGTTTGCATTTCCCCCTTCAGAACAATCAGTGGCGGTGCTGCGAGAGGTTTACATGTCCCAGTTTGCTCGGAGATACAAAGGCTCTACATAAATCCGCCTTGCTGATGATTTGAGAATGGAACGTGATAATCCATTCATGCTGCTTACGAAGACATAGATGGTACGATATAGTTCATAGTGGATGAACTGGAACTAGTAGGTGCATAATCGATTGAATTCCCATTTTTTAATCACTCTGAGCAATCCCCTGCGGGCAGAGGAGAGTGCCTCCCTCCATGGGCTCTTGCCACCTCCAATTTCAGTATTCCATAATTACTCAGCATGAAGGATTCCAGGCTCTGGAGGGTGGAAAATATAAAGTGCTCAATATTCGGGGCTGCAGATGCTGAGGCTGGCTCTGCAGGAGCTGCACAACGCCTCCCCTGTCAGTCCCTGTCCCTGTCCCTGTCACCATCCCAGGTGGCTCCAGTGGCATTTTGCTGCCTCAGACACCTCTCTGCCATGCCACGGGATCAGGTAGCCAAGGGTTATTTTCTGCTCCAGTTCTATTTAAAAGTTGCAAGAATGGTCAAATCAAACACCATTTAGTCCTTTGTTCTTCTCCCCAGACTATCAGCTGTAATTTCATCACAATCAGAGTTCTGTTCCTATCCACCTCAGGCTACACTTTGCATTTACACTATGCCAACAAGTCCAACGCGTTTTCCCTTCCCAAGCACATTCAGAGATGCTCTGCCCATTGATCTGCTTCCCATGTACCTCCAGTTTTCCAGCGAGGTACCAGACTCTGCTCTGACCCAGTACAGCCCAGCAAGGGCAGCCACAGGCACCACCTTCCACTCCTACCAGCTGCTTGCCAAAGCCCCATTTTGGGTACATCCCACCACGGGTACAGGCTGCCACACAAGGAGAATCACCCCTACTACGAACAGAACCTGTGTCAAGCTGCAGTATGAACTCTGATGTCCATCACGATCAACAAGGGTTCCAACAGAGCATGGAGCTCTGCCATCATGAAATCCCATTTCCCAACCAGCACTAAGTATTGTGTGAAATATTTATTTTCTCTGAAAACTCCACCACTCCCTTAAATCCTCTGAATACTTTTCCCCACTCAAAAGAACAAAGCTGTAGATAAAAGCATCTGACCAGTCACAACAAAAATACTGTAAAAGGCCATGAAAAGGAGCCGTCATCTTTCATGCCCAAATATATTCCATTTTAATGCAACTCAAAAAGAACAGCTTGGGGAAAAGGCAGCAATAAATGAAGGCCGTTCTCATTCTTCTAATTCAGAAGTATATTAGTTGAAAGGTCAGATGATGTTGGAACTTTAAAAGTTCAAATGTATTTCTTTCCATGGAATCAGCTGTTGACTGAAAAATGCCTGATAATTTTTAATCCAAAAGCTTTAGGAAAGAATGTCCCCCTTGCCTCAACTCAGTGTTAATGGCATTTCCCAGGAGTAGAACTCCGTGGTTTCTGATCATGGGGTGCCATGGAAAGCACAGATTCAAGAAGCACAACTTCAGAAAATACCACATTCTCCAAAAGTCTGCAATTCCTCCACATTTGTGTCTTCAGGGGGCGCAGGTTTATTATATAGACACACACTTCCAGTACTTAAAGGGGCAACAAGAACCCTGGAGACAAGGACCTGTAGGGACAGGCCAAGGGGAATGGCTTGAACCTGACAGAACAGGGGAGACTGAGCTGAGCTCTTAGGCAGAAGCTCTTCCCTGTGAGGGTGCTGAGGCGCTGGCACAGAGTGCCCAGAGAAGCTGTGGCTGCCCCATCCCTGGCAGTGCTCAAGGCCAGGTTGGACACAGGGGCTTGGAGCAAGCTGCTCCAGTGGAAGGGGTCCCTGCCCGTGGCAGGGGTTGGAAGCGGATGAGCTTGAAGGTCCCTTCCAACACAAACAAGGCTGGGGTTCTATGAAACACAAAAGGAGAATTCATAAAGTGTGACCATTAGAAATAGTTAAATAAAGTCAAACTTCCAAAATTTGGGAGAAATGTAGCTCTAATAATGGAACCAAAACCATAGCAAGCGGAACTAATCTGTAATGCTTCTATAAGGAGAGCATCTAATTTCACACTCACGCTTGTGTAACAAGATCAAACAGAGAGTGGGAAGTGTGATATAATTATTCCATCTTCTGGCAATTTTAAAACCTTACTTTCAGATAGTCCATCTTCTGCTCAAACACTGAGCACTTCAGAGAATCACAGAATCAGCCAGGTTGGAAAAGACCTGTAAGATTAAGTTCAACCTTTATCCCAGCACTGCTGAGGCCACCACTAACCCATGGCACTGAGGGCCTAGTCCACACCATGCATGAACCGTTGCAGGGATGGTGTCTCCAGCCCTGCCCTGGGCAGCCTGTTCCAATGCCTGAGCATCCTTTGGGGGAGGAATTGTTCCCCAGCCCCATCTAAACCTCCCATGTTGCGGTTTGATGCCATTTGCCAAATGCCAGCAGCAATGTGGGCCCACATCCAATTAGTTCTCCATAGCTGACCATGGTTTGCCAGCTCCATAACATGTTCACGGCAGTGTCCTGCTCACCTCTGGACATGCAGACCAAATAGTACTTAAAGTCTCTGATCCTGGGGAGGAGTCTCTAATCATTATTATAGCCAGTCATAATTACACAGTGATTTTAAAACCACTTTTGGACATTTCCAATGAGGTCCTAAAGCTGTTCAAGAGCTCTCTGCCAAAAATGTGTCATAGCAAATGAATGCCTTCATAGCAGTCATGTTACAAAGATGGCTAAACTGTTTTTGTTCAGACTTTCCAAAAATACTTGTGAGAAGAGTTTAGACTTCAAAAATGTCATTCCCAAATCGGAAGGAAGTGAAAAGAGCTTTACAAATGAAAAGTTCAAGTAATTTTAGTTACTGTTGCTTCTAGATTTCTACCCATCATTCATGTGTCTGTGGCTGACACCCAACACAGCATCACCCACCCTGGCTGGTCTCTAATCCTAGCCCACGAATTCTCCAATGGCTCATCACCCATCCCTAGGCAGATCTCCACACCTTCCCACTGGATGACTTCTCTCCTTTTCATCCTGTCCTTCGTAAAGAGCATCTATCCATCTGTGTCAGCACCCAGTCACATGAGCTATCCCACCATGCCTCCATGATCCCAATGAGATCATAGCCCTGGAGCTGCACACAGACCTAATTCCTCCTGTCCGTTCCCCATGCCATCTGCATTAGCATACAGGCATTCCAAAGAGGCACCCAGTTGTTCCCAGGAAAGCCAGTGGAGTTTCCCCTGCAATGCTGTCCTCTCGGCACCTCCTTACTTAAGCGCACATGCTTTACGTGGACACCCTTCAGTCCTGTATGTAATTCCTGATATCTCTTTTGTCCACATAACTCTGCATCCCCTGCTTACCAGCCTGGTCTACCATTTGTTCACTTGTTTGCATCAGCTCTCTTCTGTCCATCCCATCAACAGATTTGCCAGAATGTTGGAAAAAATGCTTTTGCCTAATTTGGTCAGGTGGATCCCATCTCTTTCTATTGGTCCTTAACACTCACTGAGGATCCCATGGACATAAAAGCCAAATCTCTGCTTTCAAACCACCTGTGCAAGTACTTGACCACAGGATCCATCCACTCCTCCTTCAGCTCTTTCACCATAGGAGTCTTCATTTTCCAACTTGACAAGCTCAGACCCTCACTTATTCACTACACTAGTATAAATTGGATTAATGCATTCAATAAAAACATTTTACAATAGAATATAGAACAGCTTTCCCTAATGGAGTCTTCTGCTTGTACATTATAGAAGTTAATAAACTGACACCAGGCAGTCCCTATAATATTTTCTACTTCATTGCACACCCACTACCATCACACAGGGGACTATATTATGGATAATGCCATTGAGCTGAAGCTGGCCAGAAACAAAATCCTTCCTTACAGACACCTTCACATCCAAAACATTTACAGATGGAATCCTTGTCTTTTGCTCCTGACTTCATGATAGGCACAAGTGAACAGCAAGCATCCAGCAAACCCACACTTCCTTATGTCTGCAACCCAATATGAACTATACTCACACTCTCTGGCTTAAACCCATTGCTAAGGCAGGGCTTATTTATACTGCTTCCCTTAATATATTTGCAACAGGTAGAGATACACAAACACAGTTCCAGCTTTAAGTGAGATTAAAGACAGTATGTTATGTGAAAGGGTTGGTTTTCTAAAGCTCTTCTACCCATGTACCCTGGAATAACTCTATGCCATTCTCTACTATAAGAAAGTTTCATTTGTGACCTCTCTCCTAAACAACACTGGAGACAAACACCAAGCACAGCACCACAGCAAAGCTGCTGCACCACTAAGAGCTGCAGGAAGTGATAAAGGGGAGCAGCCAGCAGAAACTACAGACCCCTGGGACAAGGCTAGTGACATGAGGGCAAACCATGCAATACTT